CTTATTACTTCATCATGGCATCCAATGTGTTACAGTCAGTTTAACCTCAGTGCGAAATCTAGGTTAACCTACGCTCCTTTATTGCGTCGAGCCGTTAGTAATGCATAATGTTTCCTCTGATGCAGGTCCACATGGCTCATCAATTTCACCCTAATGTAGAGCTGAGGTGTAGTATGGGGAAGAGGTTTTTATACGATCGATTTATTGCCTATGTTCTACTTGGCTTGTACGCCCTCGTTTAATTACTTCCCTCCGCATTTAGTTTGCCTAACGGTCGGTTAATGTTTTTCCTTTGTTTCGGTTTGATTTGCCTTCAGCGGTCTGATTTGCCTTTGAGTTGTATGTTCTTAATATTCATGTTCTTTTTTGCTGTCGATGGTGCACTTAAGTGCTATTAAATAAATAAATAAATAAATAAATAACTGCTACGGTAGATACGGCTGTATGTACGTACTCATATACCCGTCCAGCACCGCTCCGACCCAATCCCCTTCATTTCATATTGTACTCCGCAAATGAAGCGATACGAGCATCAGCATCGGTTGGACATTTGTGAGCGACCGGTCCGTATGTTGCAGCGTGATAGGAGGAGGTCAGGGTAACTTCCTTGGAGAAGGCGCCGCACAGCGCTTGCTTAGGGGTGATAAATGCTGCCCTGCTGGGCGTATTAATCCTACATGTACTGCGGATTTATCGTGCTACTTGCCTTTAACCCCTTCATCGTATCAGCTTATGCTGTCACGTTTGCATAACATTGTATGACCGCTGTAACCGCTCACAATTCGAAACTTCGCAGGTGATAAGTTGCTCGCCCCTTCCGGAGTTCCCTTTCTTCGGAAAAGCTGAACTTGCTCGCGTCTTGATTTTTGTACCTTTTCCTTAGCAGTCTCAGTCCTCTAGTTCTCTGCATACTGGCCTTTCGTGCCAAGAGCCTCACCAAAAGTTCTAGTCCGACAGTGGGAGTAATTGCAAACTATTCTAATTATAACAATAGGTCTTTCACTTGAGTGATGCAAATTTAGATAGCAGATTACTTCCTCCTTTCGCCCATTTTTTTCAGCACCGCCAAAACCTTCCAGGAAGGAGATTCTTACGGTTTCGACTGTATTGTTTTCTGTGTTAATAGGTGCTAAAAAAATTTAGGGCCTTTTTACCTTCATAAAGAAGTTGTCAGCCGTTTCATCGCTTTCAGATGGTTTTGACAATGTCAGAAATATGGTCCGTGGCGAGTTCGGAATTACAGCAAGCCGCTGATGAGAAAATCAAGTGAGATACCGGAACCTTCATCTTTTCTGATTCATATCTGCGTTACGTATGTTAGGTTATCTCATTCAAAAACGTGTGAAGTTTCTTCCAAATTTAACGAAGAGGCAATCAGAGAGAGCTTATATGCCTTCCCCCCCCCCGATTCGATAATCCGACCCTGATTTTGACATTCATGACTATTTTCGGTTCTGAATGCCTGTTGTCGCCATCTACGACCTGGAACCATCGTCATTTGCGGGCGCGACGTCGCACGCGACGCCCATCAGCGCGGCGGATTACGATTCTCTTGTCACATCCCCTCAACAAACAATTTCGGGCGAGTTTCCCATTGACAACGTCCAGTAATCACTTCGGTGAATACAGCCGCATGTATGTTGTATACGACGTCCCCCATAGCTTTGACCGCTACAGCTGCTAATATGATCGAAGCTGAAACATAACTTCTACAGTTCTATGTCTGAGACAGTTCACATCGTTGTTGGGGGATCCCTAATAGGGGGGAGGGTCGTATTTGTGTTGGGAAAAATTTATTTTGATAGTGCCCCCCCCGCTCGACGGCTCGATTTGATGAGGAGGATAGAGGGCTGGGGGGGGTGGGCGTACAGACTTGACTAAAATCCCAAATCCCCAACCAATGATGTGCCCTGGTCTGAGATGCCGGCATACATATGAAGGAGGCCGCGATCCAACAATTTCGGTGGGGCCTGCCTGTAGCCTACGTTTACTTGCAAACTATGATAACCGCTCGAATCCTGGGGCTGCGTTCATGCTTCGCGTGTGCCAGCGTTTTCGAACGGGCGGGAGAGTAGAAAACAGCCGGCCGCGAGAAGTTGCTGGGCGCTGACGCAAGGTATGAATGAAGCCTGTCATGTAAAAGTCGGACATCTTTTCTGAATGACAAGGGAAAGTCATTAATTAGTGTGATGGATTTCTAGAACTCTGCTCACCGGATCTTCATTATGGAAGGTTTAAAGAGGCAAACCATCACCGTTGATTTCGACAAGCCTGAATAGTGCTTAATGATGTTTGGTAGCTTTCTTTAGTACCGTCAAGTCGTCAAAAAAGTTCGGATTTTTCCCGTCAGACTGCGCCCAACGTTAGACCCGTTCAGAGTTCGCGAACGCGGGATTACGGTCGAGGCGCTTCACCGCCAAATGGTGCACCGCCGGGACGGCACACTTCAAATCGACACTGTGTTAACACGGCCCAGTTGAATTTGCCTTCGGCGGAGCCCTGGTCGCTACCGCGCGATCCAACCGAGCGATCCGATAGCGCTATCGCGAAGTCTGAACGCGGTCATAGAGGAAACTTCCCCCAGCCCAGCAAGACCCCCCCCTCAGAATTTCTTCTGGTGCAGCCCCTCATCCTACCTACTATCATCTTAATATTTTCAATTTCTTTTCTGCGAAGTTTCTTCTTCCGACAATTTCCCCCACTTCCTCTTCACAAGCTGCTATCGAGCAATTGGGAGGCGCATTTGGAACTAGAAGATACCGAGAAAAGTCGTCAACCAAAAGCCTTGTCTTGGGGGCGAATACACACAGGCACGTCATCTTGTTGTGATCGTTTCCTGAAAAATGTGACCTCTTCCTGATTCCATCCTCAAATAAGGCTCCCACACCATGTAGCCAACCCCTTTCCTAGATTTTCCCAACTGCCTACCACATTTTCCTTTTTTTCACAAAAAATTTCCACTTTTTCAGCCAAGCAGTTTTCGTCGAACGGACGAAGGGGTGGGGGCTATATACCCAATTTGAAACAGGAAAATTTCTCAGATTTTCCGTAAGCTACCAGTTTTGCGAAACTCAAATACGACCCCCCCTAACGGTCAAACTTGCCCCCCCCCTCGTTAGGTCATCACAACGATAGCGTGCCCTGAACAGTTTCCCCCCGCAGGGGAGTCCTCAGTACGAGGCGCCCTGCCACTGTGGATTGTATTGATCATCATCGATAGGTCGGTCAGCCACCTTCTACAGGACGCAGGCCTGCACACTATCGACCGTTTTGCCGTTCTCCGAAACTTGTTGTGTGGTTTTTGTTGTGTTTTCATTGTCAATAAGTCTTGGGACATTATTTAATTTTTTAAATTGGTATTTTTCAAGTCGTATCTTTTTTACAAGCAAGCACTTTGTTTTTATAATCGAGCCAAGTTCTAGTGCGGTGTTTCCTCGTAAAACCTGTCAAGAGCTGAGATATAACCTGGTAATGGGATCATGCGTTCGATGTTCTTTCTTTTAGAAAATGTTGACTCGTCGTGCCGGTGTCGACGAAGGGAAATCCTATCGTTACACTCAGCTGCCCAGGACGACTTTACTGTACTCTCAAATTTGCACGTGATGTGGTTGTTGTCAGTGTCACTAGTGGGTTTTTCTTCGTGAATAAACCAGGTGCTGTGATAGTACTTCTCAAGCTGCGTTCATACTTTGCCAACGCATGCCAGCGCCGGTATTTTAGTGGGCAGTTTGAGCTCAAAGGCAGTTGACACAATGGTTGCCGACTGGGCCTAAAATGCTAGTAGGGCGCTATATAGTGGGGAAATGGCGAAAGAACGGAGTGAAACGGTCAAAATCCTGCGAAGAAAAAGCCTCCGTTCTCAGTGACTTGAAAATCGATTTCGGACGAGTTTCCCGTAGGCATCTTACCAATCACCGCTACCGAAGATACGGCTGCATATGTGTACCCATGTATGCATGCAGCATCACGGCCGCTTCATACCAATCCCTTCGCTTCATAATTTGCTTAGCAAATGAATGAATACGAGCGTCAGGAACGGTCGTCCATTTGTGGGCGGGCGGGCGTTTGGGTCGTAATGTTGTGGCTTGATAGGGCCCTTATAAGGGCACCTTCCTTGGAGGAGCCGCTATGCAGCGCCTGCTCAGGGTCGCGGAATTCCGTCCTGCCAGGCGTATTGATCCTAGTCGTCTTGGGGATTTATCGTGCCAACTGCCTTTAAGTGAAACTTCCCGCGAAACTCCTGCTGTACGCTGCCGTTCGCTAGATCAATATCTATATTTCGCAGAATCAGAGTCGTATTTGGTCGCTGTTGAGGGGGGGGGGGGATGGAGTGGGAGTAGTATTACCTTTGGGCCGCAGGGAAATGTGTCGCGTTTGTTGAAGTTTTTCGGTTCTTCGTTTCGAGTTCGTGGGAGCGTTCTCTGATAAGATTGATAAGAGGCGGCAGAAGGGGGGGGGGCGGTATGTCGTTTGCCTGAAGCAGGGAAGTTGGGAAAACTTAGAAGTGGAACTGGAGTGTGCTATATAATGTAAGATACTCCATCCTTAAGGATAATCAGAGAGTATGGAAAAGCATGAAAAAGCTTGCAAATGTGGGCCCAAATATTAGCATCGGCTGTGATTTATACGATTTTAGCAAGTGATTACGTGGGCGTCAGCTAGCTATCCGAATGGTTATATGATCAGCGTTCTTGGTAGTTCATATCAGGAGTTGATTGTCGACGATTCCCCCCCCCTCCCGCGGGCTTGATTCGACGCCTGCTTTTTGAGAGGAACTGAAAATTTTTCAGAAAACTGGGAAAAGTAAAGGGAGCTTGAGGAAAGTTTGGTAAGATGGGTAGGTAGAATGGGAGAGGTGAGTCGTACCAGAAGAGGAAGTTTGGCGGGGGTCGCACCACCATTTTGCAGATCTGCTGTGCTGTACCCTGGACGCGATCTTGTCACGGAATATGAACCACTGTAACCGGCCGCGCTCCACCGCTAATTGTTGTGCCACTACAACGGTCCCAAGAAGTGTTATTCTGAATGTGGTTCACTTAAGGAAGCGTTCATACTTCGCGAGGCCATTGGCGATCGCCGCGATCTCCGTTACGCGTCTGAGCGCGCCCCTACGTTATTACTTGGACCGCTCCGAGTGCTATCAGAAGGAATCAGCTTACTGAGGAGGGAGTAGTGGTGGGTAAGGAAATCAGCAATTGGAAAAATATCTCTTTAGCCCCTCCTCTAGCGACCACATATGACCTGTTCCATTCGAATGGCCGTTCTTTCCCCTAGAGCTTTCTCCTCGAAGGCTATTCGTGAGCAGCTGTAATCGACGCAGTTGAGCGACTTCTTCTTCGAACGGCTAATGCTACAGAGGGTAATCCCTTCGAGGGAGCACAGATCCTATTTGTGATGCTTATACGCTGCCCCTCGAGAATGGACTCAGGGCGCAGTGTGGCTACGGGGGGGGGGCATTCTGCACCGTTTCCCGTTGTCGTGTTTATTGCCTTACAAGAGTTGACAGGTATTCTTTGCAAGTGCTGACAAGTTTCTACAAAATTTGACTGGTATCCATCACGGCTTCACAGTATTTGACAAAGGTCTTTTTGATGGTTTGATAATGAGAATGGGAATCAGTGAAAGTGCGAAATGCCCCTCCCTACCGGATTCAGTCAACGCAATCCTCTACTTTCGTGTCCCTTGAGCTTCAGGGATGTAGCTGACAGGACAGATCATTTGCCCAGAATCGACAAAAGCACCTCCAATCTCCGCGATCTTATCGCTCGCGCGTTCACTTCTCGCGAAGTGTGAACGCGCTGTTGCTCAATTGTTGCTGTTTCAGCAGTTCTGTGAACGCTCTTCATCCGATCTATTCACAGCTGCACAAGAAAGCGATCCCGGTGAATGGGCAACCGGGTCCCTTGACGGTCCACGTAGGATTCTATGTGGAAAGCCTCGGCAACTTCCGATCTACAGAAATGGTGCGTTTTAGGGTCAAAAATTGGTAGCCATGTGTGCACATGCGCGTCAAATCAATAAACCAATCACTGATTTCATTTCAGACATTCGACATGGATGTTTGTATGTACATATATGAGCTGGCAGGATGTCCGAATGAGGCACAATCAGTCTGATTACGTCTTAATCAATGGTGCAGTGCCAGTTTTGTTTCACTCTAAATGCGTTGTCTGCCCAATCAATATATCGATTCCAGATAAATCAATACGAGACAAGATCTGGCTGCCGGACCTGTATTTTGCAAACGCTCGTACGGCCTACTTCCATGAAGTCACTGTGCATAATTTCAATATGTTTGTCTCATTCGAGGGCGTTATTGCGTACCGGGCCAGAGTGACGCTCAACTTAGGAAAGGCAAGGTCTCAGAATTTCCAAACCGACGACTGAGCTCGCGTTCATACTTCAGGATTCCAGGGTTTTGGTCGGGCAACTTGGGAATCGCCTAAGTATGGTTGGCCGCACTCCTCCGTTTATTATTCAGCTTCTGGTCCAGTCGCATTCAGAAAAGAAATCTGACCATTTGCCACGGTCCAGCAATTAGCGTTAGACCGCGGTCGGCCGCCTTGAAGGGTTCCCAAACCGCGATTGGTCGCGAAGTATGAACGCGGCACAGCTGTTGGCGGTAAAAGAGGTGCCATATCTTCACCTTCACGACCTATTACGCTGTCCCATAATTCGTATTTTGTATATTTCATTTTTCTCTCTTTCTATGAAGTTCTAATTAACAGTGTAGTCACAGACGGGTTCGCCCAGCGCCCGGCGAATGCCGCAGTCACTGCTACAAGTGTGACCATTCAATGGCCAGAGACTGGATGGCCTTGTAACAGAATGAAGAAGTTGGCGATGGTGGGATTGCAAGCGGTCGTTTTTGAGGTGGCTGCTGTTGTTTGATTTTTTCCTTCCCTCACATGCTCTTAGAAGCGGGGAGCAGATGGAGTCTCGTGCAGAAATACCAGTGTGGGTGTGTTGCCTTGCCGCAGCCCGGTTCCTCAACACTGTGGTGAGTGTTCTTGCAGCGCACTGCGCTGCCAACTAGAGGATGGGGTGAGGGGGAGGTGAAACAGGAAAAATAACTATCAAAAAATTTTCCCGGCCGACTAAAACCCCCTCCGACGTCGAATTGGGCAGGACTCCTAGGGTTCCCAAGCGTACATTGTGTTCTGGAGCTAGTTCACCCAACATCAGACATGAGAAGCAGTGTTGTTACGGCTGCGTAGGGGTCTTTGGCGCAGCTCGGCTTGGTGGAGGCACCAAAAGTTACTTATCCAAGTCAGTCCCGGCCACATCTGAAGACCTGGGAATTCCAGCAGTAAAAGGTCTCACTTATACTATTCAGCGTCTTCGCAGAAGCAGAAGCTGAT